GAAGGCAACATACGGAATTCTGCATAACTAGAGTTGCATAAAAAATCATTTATGTACTTTTTTTACGACACCACACTTTATCCTTGTAAATCATGGCTACTTCCTTTAACAAAAAACAAATTAAAAAAAGAATTTAACAAAAAAAAATTTCCTCGACTGGGTATCGAACTCGAGACCTCTCACTCATTAAGCCGAGCGCGTTACCACTGTACCACGTGAGAAGTTAAACACAAAATGTCTGAATAATATCAAGTGATTCTAAATTTAGAACTTCCATTGCCATTCAGGGTTGTAATCCTTATTAATTTCGAGGTATTTTGATCAGGGTAAACCTGTTGTTTAAAATTGAAGTAAATATTTTTAGCGAAAATCCTCTCGCCCAAACAGTCCGACATGTAGAATCTATATATATCACTACTCGGTTTGTGTAGTATTCGGTAATTCTACATGGCTAAAAATAGTATTTTCATTGATAAAATCATATTTTCATCCGCGTAATTTGTGATTGTGCATTTATTGAATTCTATAAGGGCCAACGCTTATTGTTTAACTTTAAATGCGTTGTAATTTGTTGGATACTTGTAACAAAATAAAATATTTCTTTCTTTTAAATCGCTAGTTTTAAGCTGTTTTGAGAACTACTTGTTGTTAGGTTTGTCATAAACTTCTGTGTCAGAGATTGAATGTCCGCTTTTGTATTTAGTTATTTTCGATCAGAAAAATACCAGAAAAACAATATTAGAAATCTTCGACCATTCGGGAAATTACTTTTGCTTGAAAATTGATGCGCCTGTCTTTGACCATCTTTACGCAGTGATCTCCCCTGATTTTTTCGGCTTTAGTGTACATACAAAAGGGAAGTAACCGCTTCAAAAAAGTGGACTACTTTCGGCATTTGCAATTAAGAACATTAGACTCTGAAATTTCGCTACCATTATTTGTTTGGTCTGACGACCCAAACAAATAAAAACCTACACAATTCCTTTTTCCAGTTTTAACTACTCTTGCAGTATATATACACACCGCTTCTTTTGGTTCTACCCGGTCAAACAACAATAGACAACTCCAAACGAATGCTTTGTTATATAATTTTTCTTCTTAAATGTTACCCTTTTTAAAACCCGTGACTCCCGTGTAATGATGTGTTTTGGGCACATCATGGTGTGCAACTACGAGATGAAAATAATGACTTTAATAAGTACCTTGTAAAGAAAAGGAATGTAGTATGTAAATCTTACATGTCGGTCATCTTCAACTTGTAACGCAAACTCCTTTAGAAACGTATTATCAGGAGACATATGTTCCCCACCCCTGTCTCCAAAAGGTCCAACTGTTGAAGTGATTGTTCCACCAAAGTGTTTTCCTTTTAGTGACAAACACACAAGCTTAATTGCGTTAAGTGCAGTATCGTCCCCAGCTCCTTGTTTTGGCTCAATCTAAAATTATAATGGTATGATGGCTATTAAAGTAAAATGCAGCTTCGGAAATCGTGTATTTTGTGGATTTCTTATTGAGATCTTTATGCTTAGCTTTTTTACAATTTCTTAATACAACGATGAAACCGCAGATAGCTATATCTTGAAATCCACTTATATGACCTGACATTTGTAATCTACTGTACATACAACATTTACATAGCGAAATGTGGCAAGATCAAATTGATAGAATATTATTTTACCTTCATTTCATATCCGGCAGCATATGTACCTTCCGCACAATACTGTGCACAACCCCGCGGTCCCCAACTAGCTCGATTTGTATGTCCAATAGTATCAACAACTGAATACCTGGCTACGCGATGAATGAGAAAACAATCAACAACAGGAGAAATCGCAAGCACGCTGACAAATTGCAGGAAATACATAGTCAACAGTACGAACCATATACCATGTAAAAAATTAGTATGTGTATTTTGGTAATATCGTATTACCATCTGAAGTGTATAATCAGTGCATGTAACAAAATGTAAGATTTTACATCATCGCGCACCTGCTAAATGCTTCTGTAGCGCGTACCGAGTGGTTGATTATCCCCCGCCGATGGAATCGGGAGGGGGATATAGTTTTGGCGTTGTCGGTCCGTCCTTCCGTCCGTCCATCCGTCCGTCCGAATTTCGTTTCCGGAGTAGTTCTCTGCAACTACTGGCTGGAATTCAACGAAACTTTATGGGAATCATCAATATCAAGAGGAGATGCGCATATCGTCGGCTTGTTCCGGTCCGACCCTTTAACTCAGAGTTATGGCCCTTGATTAGTTATGTAGTATGCATATAGAGTAAAAATCGTTCCCGGAGTAGTTCTCTGCAACTACTGGCTGGAATTCAACGAAACTTTATGGGAATCATCAATATCAAGAGGAGATGCGCATAGCGTTGGCTTGTTCGGGTCAGACACTTTAACTCACAGTTATGGCCCTTGATTATGTATGCAGTATGTATATGGAGTAAAAATCGTTTCCGCGCTACTTCTCTGCAACTACTGGCTGGAATTCAACGAAACTTTATGGGAACCTTCAATACCAAGAGGAGATGCGCATATCGTCGGCTTGTTCGGGTCAGACACTTTCACTCAGGGTTATGGCCCTTGATTAGTTATGCAATATGTATATGGAGTAAAAATCGTTTCCGGAGTAGTTCTCTGCAACTACTGTCTGGAATTCAACGAAACTTTATGGGAATCATCAATATCAAGAGGAGATGCGCATATCGTTGGCTTGTTCCGGTCAGACCCTTTAACTCAGAGTTATGGCCCTTGATTAGTTATGTAGTATGCATATAGAGTAAAAAAACGTTTACGCACTACTTCTCTGAAACTACTGGCTGGAATTCAACGAAACTTTAGGGGAACCTTCAATACCAAGAGGAGATGCGCATATCGTCGGCTTGTGCCGGTCAGACACTTTAACTCAGAGTTATGGCCCTTGATTAGTTATGCAGTATCCATATAGAAAAAATATTTGTTTCCTCGCTACTTCTCTGCTACTACTGGCTGGAATTCAATGAAACTTTATGGGATACTAAGAGGAGATGCGCATATCGTCGGCTTGTTCGGGTCAGACACTTTCACTCAGGGTTATGGCCCTTGATTAGTTATGCAATATGCATATGGAGTAAAAATCGTTTCCGGAGTAGTTCTCTGCAACTACTGTCTGGAATTCAACGAAACTTTATGGGAATCATCAATATCAAGAGGAGATGCGCATATCGTTGGCTTGTTCCGGTCAGACCCTTTAACTCAGAGTTATGGCCCTTGATTAGTTATGTAGTATGCATATAGAGTAAAAAACGTTTACGCACTACTTCTCTGAAACTACTGGCTGGAATTCAACGAAACTTTAGGGGAACCTTCAATACCAAGAGGAGATGCGCATATCGTCGGCTTGTGCCGGTCAGACACTTTAACTCAGAGTTATGGCCCTTGATTAGTTATGCAGTATCCATATAGAAAAAATATTTGTTTCCTCGCTACTTCTCTGCTACTACTGGCTGGAATTCAATGAAACTTTATGGGATACTAAGAGGAGATGTGCATATAGTCGCCTTGTTCCAGTCGGATACTTATAACTCAGATTTATGGCCCTTGATTAATTATGTAGTATGCATACATCTCATTGGCATTTCCAGATTTTACTATTTAACACAAAGTTATGGCTCTGTTATTGCCCTGAATATTTATCAAGTTCAAAGAATATTATTGTTTATGCCATGATTAATATATAAATAAAGCCTTATGTCTTCAGTTGTTGTGTTAATAAAAACCAGTACTCGGCGGGGGATATAAATTCAACGAATTTGCTTGTTATTATTCTATTGCTACAAAATAATACCTTGATAATCTTGATATTCTTCAATGCAAATACATGTGATTTTTTTCTGGAAAGTTATCCTTTTGATTAGAAAATAACATAAAAACAATGCAAAACAACAATCTTAATCTACTTTTAAAATCATTCAGAAATATATATTCCCAAAAATAAACAATTGATTTTCTTAAAAACAATTCTCAATCAACACACGTCGAAAGCTAAACCTATCCTTCATCCCCTACATTTACATTCCAACAACCTCATATCCTTTATCTATTAAAATTCGAACATTCATATAAATTGTTACTCATTAATCATATGCCCTATAAATTTAGCATTCTTCGTACCAGATATCTGAGATTTTTGTGTACTAGTAACTATAATCTTTAAATTCAATCAAAATATTATTTCTCATCAACAGTTGGCCCGAGAGGTCTTACTGAAACAATACAACACTTCAGTAACAGATATTTAAGATTTTTGTGTACAAGGAAATATTATTACCTTTACGATCCGACTCTTACAAGAACATAACAAAACATATTTCAAATATCTTTACCCTAAAGTACTTCACTTAAAACATTTATCCAGAGGTTTGACAGAAATATTGAAACGTCCTGAGTGTCAGATATCTGAAATTTCTGTAGACTAGTATGTATTTACTACGCCGCTCCCTTCTATTCACACACACACATTCAGACTAATTAAAATACCAATTTCTCAAACTTTCTTCTATCTAACGGTTGTCCATGAGGTTTCACAGAAACAGTAAGATATTTTTAGCACCAGGACCGGGTTGTCCAAAACATTGGTTAAAATTAACCAATGGATAGCTTATCCACTGGCGAAATCCTTAACCAGCGGCCAGCTATCCAGTGGATACAATTTCATTGTTCAATAGTTGGATAGTACACTGGCTACCTAACCAGTGGATAGCGTATTTATTTACTGATGCAACAGGGTTGGTTAGTGATTCTGGAAACAAAATGGCTGATTTATTGATGAATAATAAATTTATTAGAATCAAAAAGCTCCCAAAAAATAATTTTGCATGTTTTGTGCTTTCTTGTTTATGGAATTAAACAAAAAGTATATCAGAGGCCTTAAAGTATTGATATATTTATTTTTCCCTTAGACACACATAAAGCACTTTTTCAGAAATGTTTCAATTTAATCCTATGCATTTTATATAAAATGATCTAGTTAAGAAAAATAAACATATATTTGAAACAAAAATATTGTTTTAAACAAGTTTTAATGATTTTTATTGTTTTAATGATGATGACTAACCACTGGTTAAGGACATTATCCGGTGGTCATAGGACTGGTTAAAGTTAACCGCTAGATAACGCATTTTATCCATTTGATAAGTTTTGAACAACAGAATTTATCCAACAGACAAAATTTAACCAGCGGATACTGGTTGTTCAAAACATTGTATCTGAGATTTCTGTGTTCCAGTATATAAAATACGATTCTGAACGCAATAAAACACACGGTGATAGCCTCAAGAATTGCAGTGAAGCGGACACAACCCACGGCGATAGGCCTTTTAGAAAAAAAGCCCATGGTGATAGCCTTTGCAACTGCAGTGAAGCTGAAACAAGCCCAATTGAGAGGCCTTTAGAGGGTTCTGATCGCAATAAAACACACGGTCAAAGCCTCAAGGAATGCAGTAAAGCTAACACAACGCACGGGGATAGGCCTTAAGAGGGTTCTGATCGCAATAAAACTTACGGTCTTAGGGTGATAGTCTGAAAGAATGCATTGAAATGGACACAACCCATGGTGACATGCCTTTCAGAGAGTTCTAAACGCATTAAAGCTGAAACAAACCATTATTTTATTTCTTTTAGAGGATTCTGATAGCAATTTATCCCACGTTGATAGCTTCAACGAATGCAGTGAAGCTGACATAACCAGCGATGATATGCCTTAAAAGGGTTCTAAACGCAAAAAAAACACGGTAATTGCCACTAGGAATGCAGTGAAGCTGACACAACCCACGGTGATATGCACTTAAGAGTGTTCCAAACGCAATATTATACACGTTGATTGCCCCAAGGAATGCAGTAAAGCTGACAAAACCCACAGTGATAGGCATTTCAGACGGTTGTTATTGCACGTTCAGCCACGGTGATAACCTAAATAAATACAGTAAAACTGACATGAGCCACGTTGATAGGCCTTTTAGAGGGTTCTTATTGCAATTAAAACCAAGGTGATAGCCTCAAGGAATGCAGTGAAGCTGATACAACCAATGGTATTATCTTTCAGACGGTTCTAAAGGCAATAAAACACACGGTGATAGCCTCAAGGAATGCAGTGAAGCAGACACAACCCATCGTGACAGGCCTTTCTGAAAATTCTGATCAGAATAAAATTCACGGTGAAAGCCTCATGAAAAGAAGTGAACTTACAAAACCAAGGATGAAAGGCTATTTAGAGGGTTCTGATTTCACGTTTAACCATGTTGATAGCCTCGAAATATGCAGGGAAGCTGAAACAATCCACGGTGATAGGCTTTAGAGAGGGATGGCAATAAAACCCACATTGATAGACTCAAGCAATGCAATGAAGCTGAAAGAACCCACAGTGATAGGCCTTTAAGAGGGTTCTAGTCGCAAGTTAACCCGCAGTAGTAGCCCCAGAGAGTGCAGAGAAGCTGACACATCCAACGGTAATAGACGTTTGATTGGATTCAAAATAGTAGTAGTGGTTCTAATTTCATGTTAAACCATGTTGATAGCTGATCGCAATAAAAGCCACGGTGATAGCCTCAAGGAATGTAGTGAAGCTGATACAAACCATAGTGATAAGCCTTTCAGATGGTTGTGAACGCATAAAAGCTGAAACAAACCATTATAATATTTCTTTTAGAGGATTCTGATCGCAAGTTATCCCAATTTGATAGCCCAAACGAATGCAGTGAAGCTGCCACAACCCACGGTGATTCTCTTAAGAGAATTTCAAATCCAAACCCAATATACACGTTTATTGTCTCAAGGAATGCAGTAAAGCTGACACAACCAAAAGTGATAGGCATTTAAGATGATATTGCAGGTTCAACCACGTAGTAGTAGTGGTGGTGGTGGTGGTAGTAGTAGTAGGAGAGGTAGTGGTAGTGGTAATGGTAGTAGTAGTAGTAATAATAATAGTAGTAGAAGTAGTCGTAGTCGTAGTTATAGTCGCAGTCGTAGTCGTAGTAGTAGTCGAAGTAGTAGTCGTAGTAGTAGTAGTCGTAGTAGTAATTATCCCAGGTTGATAGCCTCAAGGAATGCAGTAAAGCTGACACAACCCATGGTGGTATGTTCTTAAGAGGGTTCCAAACGCAAAACAAAACACGTTGATTGCCTCAAGGAATGCAGTAAAGCTGACAGAACCCACAGTGATAGGCATTTCAGACGGTTGTTATTGCAGGTTCAGCCACGTAGTAGTAGTTGTTGTGGTGGTGGTGGTGATAAGTGGTAGTAGTAGTTGTAGTAGTAGAATTAGTTGTAGTGGTGGTGGTGGTGGTAGTAGTAGTAGTAGTAGTAGTAGTAGTAGTTGTTGTAGTAGTAGTAGTAGTAGTAGTAGTAGTAGTAGTAGTAGTAGTAGTAGTAGTAGTAGTAGTAGTAGTAGTAGTAGTAGTAGTAGTAGTAGTGGTAGTAGTAGTGGTAGTAGTAGTGGTAGTAGAAGTGGTAGTAGAAGTGGTAAGGGTAGTAGAAGTGGTAGTGGTAGTAGAAGTGGTAGTGGTAGTAGTAGTGGTAGTAGTAGTAGTAGTAGAAAATTCTGTCCAAGATAAAAAATTTAAGTATAGAATTCTGCTCAAAATAAAATTCCAGCCGGAATTATTTTATTTTTCCGCCCAGAAAAGTCCACAATATATTTTTCTTCTGAGACGGAATAACACGGAATTTGCGTTTCCGTCCCTGGTCCGCCCAGAAATCAATGATTCCATGCCAATTCGGTGCCAATTCCGCCCAGAATCCGTGCCAAAATTTCGTACGGGTAAGTAAGGGTTTTTTTTGCATATTTTGACCTCTTAATAGTAATTTACATAGGTTGTAAGTGCCATTGATAATACGTAAATTGCATTCTTTTGGTATTTTTACATTATTAAATGCGTGTTTTTAAACTTTCACGAAAATTAGGATGAATATGGAGGTATGTTGCTTTTAAGCACAACTCAATCTGAAAAAAGAGAAATTTCCTAAAAAATTATTTATATCATATTTTAACATTGCGTGTCACGTCAATGAATTCCATAGGTTGTTGAAATTTGAACCACTTTGGTTCGAATCCAGCCAGGTATTCCCCCAAAAAGTAAAACTGGTATTCGCTTTTAAAGTGTCTGAGTCATTTTAAATCCAATAAACCAAATTAACATAAGCAAGAAATAAATAAACGTGTGAGATCGTGTGAGATTTTATTTATTGCATTTCCAGAATCATTTTTGCAACAGAAAACTTTGACGTCATTAAGAGAAGTGTCGTCTCCGTGATGTTGATATTCTTCCACTCTAGTCTGTATGCCGCATATTGCAGAGTTTGTAGGACATGCCCTACTCCATGCACCCATTACTCCCCAGAACCCATGTCCTGGTGCATTTGCAAGTTCGTAGCTAGATCTCTCAGAATCCATACGTCCACATTTGAACTTAATGTAATTCGCAGCCGTGTCGTCCCCATGCTTAAAGTAATATTTCAGAATTAAAAAATTATTTTCTAGTTTTACATTCCTTATCTTCAAAAATTCACCAGCCAGTTCTTGTTTAAAATAGTACGCAATTACATCTGACCGTGCACGTATTATAAATTTATCAACCCAATGAATTCGCTATCATTCGTTGGGTTAATAAATTCGTACTACATGCGCGTGCCCCGTTTGCAATTTTGTTAAAATGCTCATGCAATGTTGCTAAGTCACCACTAATTTTTCTTACTTTAACCGGTCAAAAATGGAAGCCAAAACACTCCGAGAAAAAGCTTTGTTTGCAGTTTTCTTCTTTACATATTTTTCTTTTATGACCTCCAAACCCTGCATTATGCCAATTATCAGAATCGTACAATCATATGGTCTATGTCTGGCTCATTTAAACTGATTTTGACTAAATATATTGTTGTTTCCTGGTTTCAGCAGAAAATACCTATATGTTACAGCTGATGACAATTTTTTACCATAAGTTTAATGTGTTGTTTTCTTTCTTGCTTCAAAGCGTTAAGTACTGTGAACTAAGAGGAACTCAGTATAATATAATAAAACTCACATGCTGGTCCTCTTCAACTTGTAACGCAAACTCTTTCAGAAACGTATTATCAGGACACATAATTTCCCCACCCCAGTCTCCAAACTGTCCAACTGTTGAAGTGATTGTTCCACCAAAGTGTTTTCCTTCTACCGACAAACACACAAGCTTAATTGCGTTAAGCGCCGTATCGTCACCATGATTTCCTTGCTTTGGCTCAATCTAAAATTATGATGGCTATGAAATTAAAATGCATCACAATTAATTATTTATGATCGTTTGATTTATTGTTCTTGTGATCTTCGTACAGTTTACATATTACTATTTCTCCAATGAAGGTTAATTTGCAATGTTTATTGTAACCTTGTACAATGAAATCTATCGCCACCGTCAATATTAATAGGTAAAACTTCTACTGTATTTTGAAACAATAGCAGTTTATAAGAATATTCCGCTGCAATATCTAGCTCGAGGGTAACTGATTACAACAGTAACAAGATCATGCCGGGTTTCCGCTAGAGCCAGCTTAAGCGACGAGATTATAATAAAACACGATCAGATAATGCGCCGAAGACTAAAGCAACGAGGCGATAAAACTGTGCAATAGAGCAACGAGACGATGCTTTTTCACGATATTTATTTTGCCATTTAGTATCGTCATGTCGCTTTGGCACATTACCTCGTCGCTTCGGCGTAGATGTCTCTTCCCTTCAGTCTTTTTATGTTTATTTACCAGAGGTCTTCAATGCCAAGAAACGATGTACCAAACGCAACATCTACATTTCAGACAGGATTATCTACCATTCACTGCTAGGAATTATATCTGTCATGTGTTGAAGTTCGGATTGGAATATCCATTCCGAGGCTACCTGATTATTGGGTGGGAACGAGGCCAATGAGTTGTGTAGTCATTGGCGGACGGATATTCTGCTGTGATCCGCAAACAGATCGATGTCAAATACGGTATTAAGTTATTCTTGCATATTCTACCGCATACTGCCATGTTTTAAATGGTAAACCTCAATACAGTATTTTTGATTGAAATTAATAAATTTTATCCGTTGCTTTTCCTTTCAATAGCGGCGAAATAACACCACCTTAAGAACACATTTTTATTCTAAAATGCAACAAAATGACGTCATTGCGTACCATGCGACTAATCTGATAAGTACCCATTGGGTAAAAAAGAACGCAAACACCAGTCTATTTTGGCATATGTAATCTAAGGCATCGCCATTTGTAATCTACTTATGACATCAAAATAACTGAAAATAACGGCATATTTTACGTGGGTTATGCCAGAAGAAAACAATGCTGATTTGAAATTTTTAGCGATAATTTGCCAACAGCACTTTTCTACATATCTAGACACATATTATACGTGGCGTACATTTCATTTGTATACCTTGCTGGGCACTTTTTGTCCTATAAAATGAACAATCAGATTAATTCACAATTATAGATATATGCATACCTTCATTTCATATCCGGCAGCATAAGTACCCTCGGCACAATACTGTACACGACCCCAGGGTCCCCATAAATCCAGATTTGTAGGTCCAATTGTCTCAACTACTGAATTCCTTCCTTCATCGTGAATGAGAAAACAATCAACAACAGGAGAAATCGCGAGAACACAGACAAGGTGTAGGAAATACATAGTTAACAATCCAAACTATAAACCATGTAGCAAATTAGTATGCGTATTTGGTAATATATGCTTATCTTCCACAAATCTAAAAGTGCTGCATTTACGTCATGTCTTATCTTGTTTGAGACAAACTGACCTGACCTTGGATAATAAAGTCGGCAAGTGCAACATTTTTGTTAATAAAGCTTTGCTTTTGACGAGTTTGAAGAAGGACTTGGACGATGTTGTCATAAGGACCTGTCCATCCGTAATGTTACCCTTTGAAATGTTCAAATTGGCGATATCATGGAAATCCTTGTTCTCGTTATTTACATGATCCTGTGTCACGTTTTATTTGATTTTCTTCTGCGAAATTCTAAATACATTATAGTCCAAATGCTGAGTATTTCATTTGTAAAAAATAAAAGGTCGATTGCTGATTGATTTTATATCAGTCACGTGATAAAAAAAATACATGTTTATCGGATGTCAGGTTAGTGATACCGTGTACTTTACATATTTTTGTTCAATTGGAACTGGTTGCTAAGCATTCACTACGCTTCATTGATAGCACTAGTAGTAGTAGTAGCAGTAGCAGGAGGAGGAGGAACAGCAGCAGCAGCAGTAGTATCAGTAGTATATAGTAGTAATAGCATAATAACTATTTTTTCATTTCTTTATTTGCTGATTTTAATGTTTTGATGTATTTTTTTGTTTACGGGGAACCAGTGACAACAGTGGCGTTGATATGCAGGTTAAAAGTTAACACCCAATTGTATTTTGTACTCTTAATAGTTCTTTAAAAAAATTGAATTCTTTTATTTCCCAATTGTAATGTATTGATGTATTTGTTTTGTTTTTGGGGAACCAGTGACAACTGTGGCGTTGATATGCAGGTTGAAAGTTGATACTCAATTGTATCTTGTACTCTTTATCATATTGCGATAAGAACCCTCAAAACACCTATCATCGTGAGATCTGTGAACTATAATGAATACAGCGAGGATATGACTGCTGATGAAATAACCAACAGTAATTGGCATTTCAGACGGTTGTTATTGTATGTTTACACAAATAGTAGTAGTGGTGGTGGGATGGTGTTGGTGGTGGTGGTGATGATGGTGGTGGTGGTGGTAATGGTAGCAGTAGCAGTAGTAGTAGCAGTAGTAGTAGCAGCAGTAGAAGTAACAGTAGTAGTAGCAGTAGTAGTAGCAGCAGTAGTAGTAGCAGAAGTAGTAGTAGTAGTAGTAGTAGTAATAGTGGTAGTAGTAGTGGTAGTGGTAGTGGAAGCAGTAACAGAAGCAGCAGCAGCAGCAGTAGCAGAGCAGAGCAGCATTAGTAGTAGTAGTAGAAGTAGTTATACGGGGAATCAGTGACAACATTTGCGTTGATATGCAGGTTAAAAGTTTACACTCAATTGCATCTTTTATTCTTAATATTTCTTTAAAAAACATAATGCGATAGGAACCCTGCAAAACGCCTATCATCGTGAGTTCTTTGAGTTGAATTGATTTCAGCGAGGATATGACTTCTGTTTTTTTTTCGATATCAACTTTCTGGCGTCAATGAATGCAATGTAATACACGTCGATTACCTCAAAGAATGCAGTAAAGCTGACACAATCCACGGTGATATGCCCTTAAAAGGGTTCAGAAGACAGTCTAACATACGTTGATTGCCTCAAGAAAAGCTGTAAAACCTGACACAACCCACGTTGATATAGCTTTAAAAGGGCCCCGAACGCAATATAAAACACGTTCATTGCCTCAAGGAATGCAGTAAAGCTGACTCTACCCACGGTGATATGCCATTAAGAGGGTTCCGAACGTAATATTATACACGTTGATTGCCTCAAAGAATGCAGTAAAGCTGACAAAACCAACAGTGATAGGCTCATATCAGCCATTCTCCTATAATTGAAGCACTTTTTAATAATTCCTGTCTCCACTTTTAAAATCGTAGTAAAATGTACAGACGAGCTTAATCCTTTGTGACAAACATTTAAATAAGTACACTGGGATGTTCTCAGCAGCTTAACTTAAATTATGTAGCGCGGATACTCCTCGTTTTTCATTTGTGTTAAACTGAAAAGCTATAGTAACTGCAAAAAAAGCGCTGTCGCTGACCAATTAAAGTTAAAGATTGGTGAAAAAAACAATCCATATCTATGTTTTCCAACAAGTTTTTGCCTAAAATCAATACAGTATTGATAATAGATTAAGAATTACATAAGAAGTTAAAGACAGAGACCCTTATTTTCCATGATTTTCTTTAAATGCTGCCGTCGCCGAAATGCAAACCGTTTTATTAATAATTCAAATGTCGCGTTTAAAATGCTATGCCTCCGTAACGGGCGTATACTTTTAAATATACATTATACCAATCAAATAAGAATTTTAAAATATTGTTTTGTATTTCTTTAAATGAAAAACACCAAAATGAGATGTCGTTTGCACAAAAATGTGATAACTGTGACCCGTAGAAGTCTAATTTCACTATGTTTCCATAACGACTATTTTCCGTAACAAAACGATCATCCGAATTTCGGTACAGTATACGGTTCAATTGACTGTGTGACTTTTCTGCCTATCACCGCTCCCAATGATACGTCACTAAGAGGTATGCATGCAACATCTTAATTGACTTTTATGATACAATTAGGCAACTGCAGGTAATTGGCAATCACTGTACTTTATTTTGGCAACCAGTGTTTTTGATTTGATAACGATGTTTTCACAATTATGTTACTTACTAGAGAAATTTTACTGATAAAAATCGATTGCAAGCTCTATTTTTAGCAAACCACAGACTCAAAAGTAGCAAGTTGATGCTATTTAATTTTTTTACCTGTTTGAAAAATTTGTTACGGAACATAGTTAATTATTTTGAGATCATAATCTGATGTCATATATGTACTTTATCCATATAGTTATTTAACAATTTGAAATGAATGATTGGTTTCAAACATGGAACACATATTTCGATGAAAAAGAAGTGCACAGTTTATCAAATAGTCAAATGCAATTTGTTACGGAAGCATAGTCTTCTATCATCTTTTTTCAGCACCATAATACATATATTCAGTTTGTTTATAAAAACTGTTCCAGTGTGTTTTTTTCATTATAAAGATATATGAAAATGGTGTCCAATATTAACTTGAAGTCTAACATGATTTGTATTGTGTTGTAAGGTTGCAGTTTTCCGTTACGGAACATATCAAATTTGTTACGGAACATAGCATTCATAAATGCTATGTTTGAATATGATTTTTTATGTTTTTTTACTATTTATAAAATACCAAAATTGTATCATTATGTCACTTACATTATCTAAAAGTTTTAGAATTACAATTATCATGAAAAAAGTAATATTAATAATAATAATAATGTAATAATGATAAAAATGATGATTATTATGTAATTGTTATATTAATAATAATCATGATAAAATTAATTATTTTAATGATGTTCATGTATCAAGGTTAATAAATTTATAATAAGCAACGATTTTCTATTTTAGAATGGTGCTTTTAAAAACAGAAATACAGGAGGCAAAGCAGAGAGGGGAAAACAACAAATCATTTAAAAGAGAAAGAAAGCAGAAAAAAGTATGTTCCCATTCAAAAAAGAAAAAGCACTGGTGAAGAAAATGTAGAGGAAACTACATGAAACATTATAACATTACAACAAATTTGTGGAAATTAGGCAGAAATAAAGCAAATAAAAGTGAAAAAAATAGAATCTTGTTCATTTTCAGTGAAAAACGTAATATTTTATTTTCCATAACATATGTTCCGTAACAGATATCTTTTCATGCACTACTCACTAAATTAAACTGTTGATGTTATTTTTAATTGATACAGTGTTTTATGATTGATGTTGTTTGTGAAGATACCACATTTAAATTGTTTAAGTAATTTTAAAGAGTGAATATATTGAGTTATAAATCCTGTGTTTTATAATTTTTCACCTATGTTCCGTACCAGATCTTAAGGTCTGTTTGATGATCATTTGTGCAGCGAAGTTTTTTTTGGTAACGTTACACCGATTAAGAGTTATGCTTGATTTGTTTTCTGCTGCTGACTACTGCTGCTGCTGCTGCTGCTGCTCCTACTACTACTACTACTACTACTACTACTACTACTACTACTACTACTACTACTACTACTACTACTACTACTACTACTACTACTACTACTACTACTACTACTGCTGCTACTACTACTACTACTACTAGAGCCAGGTCTAATATAAATTTGCAGTAATTAACAGAGACATGGATGGATTGTTGGACTTTTTCTCCTTTTAGAATTTTTTGTTTTTATTGTTAAAACAAGCAATCACTCATATTTCTTTATAAAATGAATAATATCACCGCCATTTACTGTTGATTGTCGAACTTATTTTACAGCCCAAGACTTCTTGTATTTAATGAGAAATTCGAGTAAATGAGGAAAATGGGGAAAATGGATTTTAATATTAAGGAAATTTCATTTTAACTTGTTTTAAGCATATAATAAAACGAATTTTTGTTTTTGTTTTTTGTGTAAGATGTAATTTTATTTCATCTCGTTAACTTTAAAAACAGTAATCTCAATTGTCGCTTCGCCACTAGTGAGAATACTGGTTTTAAAGCCCACTCGATGAAATAACATTTCATCTTACACACAAACAAACAAATATCCTCTATATAATTTGCAATTGGTGAAACAAAATGGTTCTACACAGCCACACAAGTGGTTCTACGTAACTGCTCAGTGGTTGTTCTCAGATTGACAAGATGTTCTATTCAGCTGGTAAGCAGTTCTACATAGAGCTGTCATTGAGTTAGGATTATACAACAATATATTGATATCGGGTATCAAATATCAGCGATACACTGATATGTCAATAATAACCTATAAATAATTGTCTGTCATTCACTTTCAAAAATGATTTCTATAAAGTCTGTGTTCAGTGTCTTGTTCATAAATGCCCATTGCATTTTTAGCTCACCTGTCACAAAGTGACAGGGTAAGCTTTTGTGATCGCTTTTCGTCCGGCGTCCGTCCGTCGTCCGTCCGTAAACTTTTACTTTAAATGACATCTCCTCATAAACCACTAAGCCAAT